TTTACATATATATATATAAATTGATTTCCGGCTTCTGTATTCTGTTGCCAGGGCAACCACCGTCCATCAGTCCTCCTCTCCTGTCGTGTCTCGAGCTCGTCACATGGGGGCGGTGCATCTCGCTTGGTGTCACCTCCCTGATACAGTCATCCCTCCTCAGCCTGGAGGACACGCACAGACACGCATTCAGGATTTACTGCTGCACAACTACGTGAGTCCTGGATGTGTTGCCCCAGGCAGTCCGGGATTTACTCTGTGAATGTGATCCTTACATTTTTCTGTCTTTCTTCTACCGTGTCATCAACAGATCTCATCATCATGAGGAAGATCACCGGCAAACACTTGTTGTGCTTCCTCCTGCTCGTCTTCCCGCTGTCCTGGGCTGAGGACACGAAGGGGGATGCGAGGAAGACTGAGAATAATTTAGGTGAGGATGAGAGGATTGTTGTTTATCAACATGTTCAACATGTTCAATATTAATTTATGTCCTTTTTTTATGTTCATTTGTTTGTCTCTGCAGTTTGACCTTGTGTTTCTGTTCAGTCATCTGCTTTATACCTCAAGTTTCAGCTGCAATCATTAGTCTTTTGAGTTTTTGGATTTTATTTTTCCTGCCTACCCGTCTATAAACCTTCTTTTTCACATCAAATATTCTTCACTGCACCTACCTGCCTTAGACATTCGTCTGAATTTAGGTCTTGAGATCCGATTATTACCAAATTTGCATATCACTGTATAAAACCAGTGGTATCTTGTATGATTATATGATCTTACAATCAAATCTATGGACTGGTGAATTATCAACACCTTCAGTTGGGACAAATGGTATCATTCAATTTCATGAGTTTGGCTGGAGAGTTGAAACACAGTCAAATGAATCCATGCCCACCTCTGTGCTGGTGAGGGACAGAGCTTCAGTGGATCTACTGAAGCTTTCATAACGAAGAAGTGGATGTGGTTTCATACAAACTGGGTTGGATTAACGATTGTTGCAAACAGGACAAATAGACCTACAGTCCGTCACACTTACAGGCAAAATCCATATTTTCTATAGCCTAGAAAGTTTGCTATCACGAATTTGACATTGTAATAAAATGAATGTTAATGAATATTAATCTTGTTTAGATGCTGAAAATATAAACAAACCTTAAAAAGTGTCACATAAGCTAACAATAAAGACTACCTTCTCACCTGCCAGTCAAATTGTTCAAGATGTTATCTATTTATTAGTGTTACTACAGAAGATGCACTATGGGAACCTGCTGAGATACAAATGTAGGGAGGACATGAAGGAAAAAATAATAGTTTCATTATAATTTGTTGAAAAAACAGATGGTGGCTTCACAAAAAAATGCAATATGTCAAGGAGTGAATTTTCAAAGTGTGGATGAGGGCGTGAGTATCAGCAGGAGCAGAGGCATGAAACATCAACAGGTTGAGCAAAGGTATTTTCTGCAAGGTAACAGATCAAGTGTTCACATCTGCTCAAAGATTAGCCCCAAGGTGTTGTGCTGGAGTGGAAGTGAAGGTGCAGCGTCCATCCATCATGAGGCAGAAGGTAAAAAGAGTTCAGAGGCTAGGCGGAGGGTTTTTGATTTGTTGCCTTTTGCAAACCTGCGCAGGACTTAGGCTGTAGAAGACACATTGTAGTATAAGGCTGAGGGTGTTGATGGTGTCAGTGTCTGAGGAGAAAAGTTAAACTTTGTTGGCATATATTTTTTGTGACGATCCAAAGATAATCCAGGCCCGAAGATGGGAGGTTAGAGCCAAATCATTTTGGTTTCATTTGGACCTTCGCTGCTATTTTTGTCTGTAAAAGATACCAGACTGCTAAAAGCCTTGGATATCAATCAAGTTCCATTGTTTCTGGGAACGTGATTCAAAGCAAACATCATGGTAAATTATGTCAGACTGTACAAATTTGCAACAGTGAGTCAGTTTAGTGAAAAAACACACCCTATGTATTCTACTGTTCTCTGTGCTGTTTGACATTGTGAGATTTACAAAACATCTATTTTTCAATTTCCAGTTCAATCAGTTACGGAAATGCTTCTACTTTACTGCAGTTCAACTAAATCAGCAGATGTTCAACAATGAGTCAAACTCATACTATGACAGTATACAGTACTTTTGTAGTATTTTCCACAGAAGTCATGCTATGTGGAATTTCCTAACAAATGTGCTAGTTGTTGAGATGTTTCACTCAAAACTACCTCAGGATGGCACCATAGGTCAAGTCAGATGATCCAAAAGGACCATGAATGTGTGCAGAAACCTTAATGGCAGCCCATCCAGTACTTGTGGATATTTCCACTGACAGACTGATGTTGTGATTGAATAAAGTGTCGCCACTAGTGTGACTAGTGGTAGAAAGTTATGTAGACAGAATTCCATGGTACAATACAAAACATCTTTGAAAACAGGTTTTTCACCGTTTAACAAGAAAGTCTGTGTGTTACTCCTTGATTCTTGATCTTATTCAGCACCTCACAGTGAGAGGAAGAACAACAACTTTACCAATGATAAATAGTCTGATCAAAACAGTGACAAATGATCCACAAATGGGGAAAGACAGGACCCAAAACAAATGTGTATAAACATCTCTCTAATATTTCAAGTGCTGAAAACTCTTTCCAGTAGTTTCATGAGGATGGACGTAAACAAAGCATTTCCAAACTTATTTTCTCTGGAAACCAAGAAAGCACAGACTCTCAGACTATTGTTCTTAGGCAGAGGCCTCACAGAGGTCAACCCACCTGATGACAGATGTTCTCTATGAATAGAGCCAGTGTCTGGTAATGGCTGTCAGCTTTCAAAGTTCTCCTCCTCCACCGCCCACCAATTAATTCACCAATGCTTTACCTCCTCTTTGTGGGTGGTGGGCCCATATGGTGGCAAATTGGATATGTTTGTTTAGTCTGATCGCAGCGTAGCCTCAAGCCATCAGCTCCCAGCTTGGACACATGGGTCCACGAGGGGGTCCCTTTCTCCCCTGTGTTTTGTGAAAGTTAAATCCATTTGTGGTTGATTCACAGGGGTCACAGCGGGTTCCTTTTCAGTTTTTAATCTGTCTCAGTACTAAAACCACATTCAAATCTGTAACTACATTTTAGATACTCATTACCGCATCTGACAAATCTGTGTATTATCTCTGCTCTGGCTGGAAATTAAAGATATAATATTTACATTTTTCGTTAAAACGTCTAAAACCAATGAGACCTATGTTATATATTTTGTTGACTTGTGTACTTACAATATCCAAAATGTTTCCAACAATCTTCAAACAGTGAAATCCACAATTTTATTCAAGGTAATGAAACGTTTCATCGACTTTTAGTTCCATCATATCCTCAGTAGTCCTGACTTTGTCCTTCTGAGTTGCAGGAAAAACATACTGCAAGTCGACTGTTGTCTTCCACTGATTGAATTGGTCACTCTTAATGGATCATGATTATTTATTGCTGTGTAACATGAATACAACTCTAATACATTACCTCATCCGTGAACATGTTTTGTATCTGATTTTCATCTGCAATGATGGAAAAAACTACTACTCCCATGATCCCAAGCCACTTCACAAGTTCATCAAATAAGTCTCTTGTTATTGTTTTGATTGAGATACCCCCAGCGACCGAAGTTACTACATATTGTGTGTTTAAAGATAATTACAACTGTCTTACTATTAGAAATGCTATTTCAGGATATCAATACTAACTAAATACTACTAAAATGTTTAAAAGCTGTAGAATGGATACACAGTAGGATATTGCAAATTACAGATATTCACGTCATCCTTTCCAGGGCAAATTGTGTCCCTTTTGCCATTCATGCGTATCCAATGTCAATGTCAATTATATTTGTGATGTCCAGAATGACCATTTATGATGTGTGCAACAGAGTTCCCAATGAAATTATTCCCATTTCAGACACAATCCAGTCGATACTCGTCATAATTTTAGTATCATATATTTTAAGATAACTCAAATGAAATACCAGTCCAGATATCCATAATGTGATTTGAATATCCCAAAATACATTTTGACTCATACAAATGTAATTAGGGACATCCTCAACTGTCAGTATGACCAATAAAAATGGGATCTTGCCTCTCTCCAGGCTGCAGATGGTGGGTGTTGACAGTGACTAATCAAAGCTGCAGAGACATCAGCCACTGTCTCTACATCTAACTTCTCAAAAGTCAACCAGAAAGGCGAGTGAGTGTTGAGCAGCTGGGAGCTCATTCATGTGCACGTGTGAGGTTTTAACACTAATCTAACAGCATATTCTTTCATCACTCATCCAAAAGTACAATAGCTTTAAATGGAACTATAGTTACTTCACATTGTTAAAAATAGCTGGTTGAAACTCTGTGAACATCAGATCATGGTGCCTCTTGGACGTCGCCCTGTGCAAGTTATTCCAGGAACATCTGGAAGATGCCCCCACAGACAAAAAAAAACACAGATATAATTTTCGAACAGAGTTTGAACATGTTTATTAAAAGTGACAATGATTTTTCTTTTCTTTCTAACTATAGTTTGGAGCCAAGCGAAGAGCAGACGACTGTTTGCAAGAAGGAAGACTGCACAGGAAAATCCCCATGCTGTAAGTTTTCTTCTTCTTAAACTGTCTTTGGATTCCACCTGCAGCCACTGCATGTTCAATAATGATTCAGAAAGGTATAATTATGATTGCTTGAAATAAGATGGGTGAGGAAAATGCTAGTTAGTATATTTTTTACTTTCAACTGGCCAAATTAAAAATAAAGAAATAAAA